TTAATCTTTCATTATAGCTGGTGGGAAGACACTGGAGGAGGGGGACGCTGTAAGGTAAATTTGGGTCTAGAACTTTCGCCGACAAAATAAAGAGTCAACAGTTGATTTACAGTAGGCTAGGGGTTCTCAAACGGTGGTACGAAAGAGAAAAATGGTTGGTACGCGAGAATCAAAGTATTTTTAACTGTTAAATTCAAAAATTAAAACCTCAACATCCTGATTGAGGTTTTTCTTTAACACTCGTAAGCTATGGTAGTAGTACTTTGTAGTGGTGTACAAAAGGTTTTTCAATTTTTGTTTAGATGGCACGCGTTAGTCAAAAGGTTGAGAACCGCTGCTTCGCCGTCAAGTAGAAAAGTAATGCGTAATAAAGGTTGCTTATAATGTACATATTTACTTGTTTGCAAATATGGGATATAAAGAAATTACACATAGTTAGAATTTGTGTCAGTATCAAATGAAAAAGAAAAATTCACATTTCATAATTATGAGCTAAACCTTGATGACTTTCTAACGGATTCACGTTCCGCATTGGAAAACCGTGAAAACTAACTATTTAACCAGCCCCTTCGCCTGGGAATCGAACCTAGATAGAGGTCTTAACTGCTGTGTCACTCGTGGAGCCTTCCAAACTACAAAATTTTGGTCACAAGGAGCCCAGGAATGTATCAAAATTTAAATTTCGTAATTTTTATGGAACTGACGCCTTTAAATTTAAAAATACCAAAACATGAACCTTTGCGCTATTTGAAACATTTTTGTAATTGGAAGCATATATTTACAGCAACGTTTGCGAAAATAAAGGCCGAAAAAGGATTTCTTTTGTGAACACGGTGTATAAAAGTAAAAGAAACTTATTATTAAAAATACTTAGAAAGCTGTCCGAATTTAATGCATAATCTTAACGACATGAAGCTATTCCATAAGAAGTTCTTAAGACCGTAGTTAAAAGATGATTGTGTTAATGACAACGGGCTTAGGCCATATTTCAAGAGTGACAGTAACTAACAGGAAAATAAATAAATAAAATGAATCGCAATTTTCCATGTAATGATCCAAACAACAGCCTGAGGCTGTCAATTTTCTTAGACGCGGTTAGAGATTATTTCTTCTGCTCACCGCGCTTTGGGTGACAAGCCGACCCCTCGCTCAACGCCGGAGTGTAAATCGTAAAATTTTGGGGCAGCACTTTTAATATATATTGGAGGATGTGTCTGACGTATCGCTTTGATCATGGAGCAGTAAACAGAGAGGTTTCGTGGGAAATAGCCGGAGGGCTTTTATAGATTAAACGTTTTCTTCGATAAACGAATTCGATTATCTTCTTTGGAGAAACAGCCGCAGGCAGATTTACCGCTTTTTAGTAGAAACACCATTCAGTTCGGTAGTTCTTTACCTTTTTACTTCCTTCTGCGAAGTAAGGAAGTATTGTATCGGGAATTATTTCAACGAATATATCCATTTTGACCATTCCCGAATCCATTTTAACTATTTCTTTGCGCGATGTCTGTACGTATGGATAGAATAAGGGACTCTTTTTTCCAAAACGGATTGTAAAATGGATTCGAACATTACATTTCCGTGAATTCTGTACGTACCTACATATCTATGTATCTCACATAATACAAAAAGATTAGCCGACTATTAAATTACATACATTCTTTTTCCTGCACGTCATTTAAACGTATTTCCTCGAATTATTCTAACTTAATTAAGCTGTTCGTCGAGGGAAATTGAAAATGACATAAAAAATTGCAAATTGTGAAATTCAAGATCCCGGTCAGTTTTTCTCGTATGGGAGTCAGATGTCTTGTATTTTTATTTAAAAAACTTTCCCAAATATAGGTATAGGAACAGGAAAAATTAGACTTCGTTGTTTGTCGGAATTTTTTTTTTTTTTTTTTTTGTTTTTACAAAAGCGTTTAAGAAAGCCGAGTAAGGAGGCGGGCACACATACAAACATATATGTATATTTATATATATATATTTACAAAACAATTTTTTAATAATAAATACAATTTTAATAATAATAACAGTAAATTATTAATTATAAATTTCAAAATTTCGTCTTTGTGGAACATTAGCTATAAATTTCTTACTTTATGTTTTTATAGATATATATAATCAATTTCAAAGGGAAAGAAAAAAGGTGAAAAGAAAATTAAATTTCGTGTCAAAGGCAATCCGACTTATATTACGCGAAGTTGGTGAAATCATCGATATATATATATACCGTATATTCCGGCGTATAACCCACATTTTTAGTACAAAACATCAATTCGAAATTTACAGGTGCGTGGTATATAAACAGGATATAAAAATGATAGATTAGAAATAAGGAAAAAATCAGTGTACAAAACTAGATTTTTACATGTAACCTAAATGCTGTTTATTTAAAAGAAGTGACATATATTATGAGCCGCGAAATTTTCATTATCGGATAACATGACGTCATGCTTATCTATAACGTAATATCTTCAGGCACATCATCTAATTCTGTTTCATCTTCACCATCATTGTCACTCTGATCCATAAATAAATAATCATAATCCACTCCATCTTTCACCAACAACCAAGCACTCTTACTACAGTACGATTTTCATTTTCTTTTGCAAATTAAATGGCTTTGTATTTGAAACCAGCACTGTGTTGTTTAGTTTGGCAGGAACCATATATAATGCTAAAAGGAACACCAAATCCACTGTATTTCAAATAAAGCAAATGTGTTTTATTAAACCCTTCGATGTCTATTTAAAAATCACGGCTTCAAATGAAAGAGAAAACATCTATAGAAAGAGGAATCATTTGACTCTTAATTTTACGAATTCTTTCGTGTCGGAAAGGCATTTTTACCCCAAATTCTATCCATCTTTTCTCAAAAACTTGGAATAATATTCTGGTGTCTACTTGCACTGAATACAACCCACTCTCTTTGCAAAATTATTTACTCCCTCAAGTATTTTACCAGTGCACACGTGTTATTCCCCTTATCGCTTTTCATTACAGTATACCATTGTCCGAAAGCCTGTGTCTTCGAATGAATGATTTCGAAAAATAAAAGCATCATATACTCACTTATCTTTCAGGTTTCTTCCTAAAGAAAAAGGTTATACGGCGAATATACCTAAAAATTAATAAATGCAGTTTGAAAGTAAACGTGAGCGCTATACACCGGTGCGCATTATACGCCGGAATATACGATAATACGGTATATAGTATATATATATATAATATATATACTATATACCGTATTATCGTAAAATATATATATATATATATAGGCTGAATGATTTTTATTAAATTCTGAATAAATTTTAATTTTGAAGGATAAGTTATTTAAATTTCTACTGTAATTAAATTTTTTTTTAACTGTAAGAAAGAATTTTTGAAACCGTAAAATTCTAAATAATTAATATTATTATTCTATATTTGAACCGTAAAAATTCTAAATAATTAAAATTAAAGTATTGAAAAGGTAGCTATTGTCATTGACCGTATATCAGTTGACTCGTCAAGGGAAACAATATATATATATTTCTGATACTGCCGATTACGATAAAAAAGAAGATACATATTATAACAGAGCCATGTACAAAATTCATGGTTCTACGGCTAATTTGTTTTGGTTTATTCGGGAAACATACGTTTATACTCAGGTACAGACACCATGAAAAAATGCATTTTGAATTCATTTTGAAATAAAGATTTCTTTATTCTACCCGTACGCTAAATGTCAAGAAAAAAAACTGTCCAAAAGAATTCGGGAACGGTCAAAATAGATATTTCTGTTGAAAAATTATTCCCGAAATTTTTTTCGCGATTACGATACTTCGTTACAATACTTCGTACAAACAAGTGAAGAAAAAAAGTGTAAATGGTTTTAAAATGTCATTTCATAAAGATATTTAATATTTCTAATATGATTTAATTTCATTATTATTCACATCATTTTAATTAAAAAGTAGAAAAAATTGTTCTTAAGAAACACATTTATTGCTTTCGAACCGCTTAGTTTGTTAATCAGAATCAGATACAATAAATTTGAAAGTAAAGTATTAACGCTTCACAGAATGACAACACTCAGGCGCAATGGAAAATGAAAGTATTTAGTATTTTATTTCTGCAGTGACCACGTGTCTTTTGAACAGCCGAATTCGTTGGTTGATATTAATCAATTATTCAGGCGTTTCCAGAGCATACACCTAATTGTTAGAAACAGAGTTCTTTCTGTAGACAACGAACTGCTTATCTATGAAGCCCTTTAGCGTTCCATGTTATGTCATGCCTGTACCCTGCCTGATCATATTGAAGCCGCACTAATAGAAAGGAATTACATGTTGTCCAAAATAATGTTCTTCGACAAATATGCAATTCACCTTTGTATATTCGTAACAATAAAATACATGAAGATTTAAATGCTGTAGAAGTATGTACTATAAGCTAGCCGAGAAATTTCTTAAAAAATCTTCCTTAATTAATAATGAAAATATAACAGTTATGATTATGATATATATATATCATGCTCGCGATTTAAAACGCCCCAGGGTGATTCATAATGTAAATATGACCTAAGGGTAGTAGTTATTAGCTGTCTTGGTTGCTTTTATTACTGAACTGAAAGCTGGATATTATAAAAATTGAAAGATAAATATCTTACATTTCGCCGAATGGCAACAGTATGAAGCACCGGAGTTACAAATATTTTACTCTGAATAGTGCTGCCACTATTCGCTTTTAAATCACCGAGTTTATTTAACCAAAAACTCATTAAATTAAATATGAAATAAATCAAAAACGAACCCGAAAATTAGAATTTTGGCTGAGAGGTGCTCTTGTTCGAGTAGTGGATTACGTGTATTCAAAATTGAGTATTTTTCCATTATGCAAGAAACATGCAGATTCTTCATTGCTTAATAATAAGAGAAGAGATAAATGAAAGTGGATGGCTTTATTTTAATGAAGATTCTAATTTTATACTTTCTTTTATCCCCTCTGTCTAGGCTTTGAGCGGTTTCCTCATGATGATGACCCAGAACGGAAAACTTTTGTACATATCAGATAACGCGGCAGAATATCTGGGACACTCCATGGTAAGTTCTTTTAATTTTATAATTAAAGAGTTCTTTCACGATTCAAGATGCTCTCAACATATTCTACCATAACAGTTACTATTAGAGTTTGTAATTTTCTTTAATCTTAAAATTTTTGAATTAGTAAGAAAATTTTAAGAAACGAAGGAGGGTAAGTTTCGGGAAAAAATGGAACTTAGGAAAGGAATAAAAAAATTTAAAAATTCAATGAAGGCTAATAGGCTGAATGACTTTAATTAAAAGATAATATTTCTATTTTCCGTTGGACGGATGCCTTCGTGGAGCATTTTTCATGTATGGCCTATTAAATTATATTTTTTACTGCACTTCATTTAAATTCATTTCCTCGAATTTCAATAGAGATATATTTCTCATTCAATCAGTTCAGTTCTCACATCAGGAAGGCAAAAATACATGAAAACTTACAATATATTCATATATATATAGAAAGAGAGAGAGAAAGAAAAATGTACATACATATATATATATATATGTTTGTGCGGCCGATTGCAACAAAAATAGGAGGTTCACAACTGCATGTTATAGCACTCCCATACAAAATTTCAGAGTGCTGAGACTAATCGTTTTTAAGTTATGCGAGATACATACATACATATATACATACAGGCATTTAAAAAAAATTCCCTTCTGAATCCATTTTATAATCCGTCTTAGAAAAAATAGTTCTTTACTCTTTCTGTTCGTACAGATGTCAGGCAAAAAGGTGGATTCGAGAGCGGTCTAAATAGATATTTTTTTTTGAAATAACATACTCGAAATTTTTCACAATTACAGTACTTTCTTTACATCGTACAAGGAAGTAAAATGCCTTTCCAGGACGATGAATTGTTAAAAGAAGCATTTTTAACTGGTTCCTTATTTTAAGAAAATTTTCTAATAAATCTGAGACTACATAAGCAATACGGTGTCCGATGCCATTTCAAAAGACACACACACTTCGTTAAAGTGTGAATTGAAAATACGTGACAAGTTCTGACTGCAGTATTCAGGAGTACACAGGTACATCAGACGCTGCACAGTTAGCAGTTATAATAAGAATGGTATTTAGTAACTTTACTGTAAAAGAAGATCTACGGAAAATATTACCTATCAAAGGACAAACAAGAGGTGTGGTTATCCTCAATATATTCACAGCATATGCAAAGTAGATAGATATGCACAAACTGTTCGGCGTAACCACTGACAAGAGACATCAGACATTGGTAATTTTAATCTATATATTACCCTCTGTAAAAAAGATAATGCATTTCCAATGCAGTATCAGTAGATAGAAAACACGGGTTCACCGACACGCGGTGTGGGGTGTGGG